TTTCTTCTCTGTTTCTTGAAGTACCTGTTTCCTGACCAGGCAGGTGGCAGAGAAGGTCCTGTGGCCACCCTCACAGATGACACACTTTTTTATGGTGCTACGGCAGTCTTTGTAGAAGTGCTGATGAGATGAACACTCAGAAAATATGACCCCTTGCAGGGTGCAGTTCTTGGTCATGTGGTCATTGTATTTATAGCACTTCATACATTGTTGGATGGGTGTATACTTTTCATATTCTATTTGGTGTGATGAGATGGAAGTGCCATGTGCATAGAGCCTCATCTCCTTCATTCTTTTTGCATCCGTTGTGTCTGCAAAGCGAACCTTGATTATATTGTGGGCATACATAGGATACACCTCCACAACCTTGACATTGTTTTGCTTTTCTATTTCGTCTCATATTTCTTCTGCATTATTTTCCACTGCATCTTTGTCTAACTTCTTGCATACAAGGGTGAGCTCAGTGCCGTATTCCCGTGGGACAATGACCTCGTATCCGTTAGTTTTCATTTTGTCCATGGCACTAGACTTAAGTAGTTTATCAGCATCTTCATCTGTTTTTGTGAGGATGATGTAACCATCTCTCAGATCCACAAGTCTATTTATTCTCACCCTTAGGTCGCTCAATAGCCTTTTTAGCCCTATCCGAGACCCCTGGGTCGGGGTTCCGGAGATCTTCACTCTCACTTTGGCCATGGTCAGTAACATACATGAAAATCCTACCTAATCGATATAATATGCATTGAATACATTTACAGGGCTGTACAGTACATAAATCAGGAGTTGTTAAAATAATAAACAACTCCTGATTTATGTACTGTACAGCCCTGTAAATGTATTCAATGCATATTATATCATTGTTAAATCAAATGTAAGTCTGTATATTTTCAGCCACCGGCAGCAACTCTATTAATAAACCGTTTATTATTATTATTTAATCTCTCCACCTCCGCTAAACCCCATGGATGCCATTCCTTCTGTCCGCTTGCTGGGAGAGTAAAGACGGGTCGAGGGGTAGGGTGAACAGACAATCCCCTGACGGGGGCCTAGCCAAGCTCTAACACCTAACAGTGACAGGTTATGAAGCACTGCCGAATCCCTAACAGAAAATGTTGCCAACCTTACTGTTTCGACTCAACATCCCTCTGAGGGCCCCGCTTGTGGCTCTGCCCTGGGTTTGCGTCATTACCAAACAGCAGGGACTCTAGACGAAAGGATAGGATAGGGAAGAAGTGCAGTGTACAAGAATAATAATATCCATGTACAACTACAAGATAAAGCAGCCAGAGCGAACCCAACATGAAAAACAAGGCTGACAGTCGTAATGGTCAGCAATTTGAAGTAAGCAGGGAGCGACGCGCAGCACGTCCGCTCGCTATGAAGGTTGGGTGCGCTCTGTACTGTACAGTGGGGTATGCTATAATGAATCTAATTGGTTCTAGAACCTTGTTCGTTATAGCATTCGTTCGTTATAGGATTAATCCGTTCCAGGCCCCCAAATACAACCTCTTAACACTGAAAAATATAATATAAAATTGTAAAAATTGTAAAAAAGTGCATAAATATGCATCTAAACCCCTGAAATGAAGAATATCATTAATATTTGTAATAAAAAAACAATAAATTAGAAAAAAAAAAATAAATAATGTTCGTTGTAGGAGTTTCGTTCGTTATAGCATTCTCAATTTTATAGGTAAAACCGTTCATTATAGGAATATTCGTAGTAGGATCCGTTCGTTATAGCATACCCCACTGTACTATATTACCTCTGATTATAGTACTTATTGTGTGTGTGCAGTCAACTTTCTCTCAAGGTTTTTGTTTTAAAACTTAACTTAAATATAGTTCTGTTGATGTAATGGCGTGTGTGAAATATTTTGCTCGTATGTGATAGTGAACATAATGATAAAAAAAAATATATATATATATACAGTCAGACCAGTGGAGAATGTCTGTCTCCCAGCTTTGTACCTCTATACTTCAGGAGTGTTACATAGGAGTACAGTACAGGTAAAAGCATTTTCCATGGACTGAAACAAAAGACACCGGATCTTTTCCCTTCCCTCCTGTTAAGTGTTACTAATAACTGTAATACTGATGAGGGATTATGAAACTACTAGAAACTTTTGTTCTTTTTTTTTTAAATCTAATTTTTCATCCTGATAGGCTTTCTCCAAATCCTATTCAACTTTTAGTCAGCTTTTCCAACTTTAAAATCAGAACTGGTCAGAGACAAGGTTATTTGCCATTGTCCTTACTTTACAAGCTATATGTTTGGGTTTTTTAGGTAGTCTTTGTCTAGATTAGAACAGATTCTTTGTAATTTTGCTTGAGTTAGAGTACACTGGGATACTATATTTGTGCGGGTTCTGATATGGAGTTAAGGGTTGACTCCTTTCAACCAACTCTTTGTTGTTTGACTGCTTGTGGTCACACTCTATATAACAAGCCTCTACAACGTCCCTCACCTTGTGCAGTCTCTTTACAAGAGTCCTAATACCTCAGCTATTAAATGACAGAGAATTGCATGGCATAAAGGAATTAGACGGTTAATTTCTATTACTGTAATACAGTACATTGTTGCACAGTAAACTCCTCCATTGGGATACAAGTTGCACAGTGCTTTGAACGTCTTGTCCAGTTCTTTCCACTTCACTACCCTCATTTTTGAGCTCTCACCGTGGGGATGGCTAAACCTTTTGATTAAGCCTCACCCACTATGTCTAAGATTCTTGTCATGGTTTTTCGTCGTAGTGTTCTAAGTGTGGATTATATTATATAAAGATTATAATATGTTGTGTTTCTTATATTTCTTACCGTAGAGTTTGATACCTTCACACTGGTTACGGGAGATTATGGTGTATCTATGTAGAAATTCACTCCACCACCCGACATTCCATGATTTATATTTGATAAATGATGATTTAATGAGTTCCATTAATTTCCAACATCCATCTAAGTAATTTGTTATACTTTGTCATAACCAATCAGTCATTACCTTTAATAATAATAAGATAGGATCACAGATACGGGCAGATAATTGCACTTACACAAGCTTTCATACAATGATTTACAATTTGCATGGATATATGAGTCACTCACATTCACGCTGTAATAAAATTAATCTTCTAAAAGGGAATTTTCAACTTTGGGACACATGTGATTACTCTACTATGGGTATGATTTAACTGAGCCTTAATTATTCAAGTGATACATTTACTGCCAGCCTGGATTGCTCTTGTTGCAACCAGGTTTCCTCACAAGAACTTCTTTCCACGGGGAATAACAACAAAAGGGTACTCTTGGGTTACCACACATAGTCTCGCGTCACTGACAGTCACTGTAGACGGGTGTCGTGCAGGAGAACTCTGTAAGCGTGAATTGATTATCCATTTACTGTAGGTTTGATAGGCCACCCTGGATTGCTTTTGTCGCAACCAGGCTTCCACATGTGATATTTCCACGGGGATAACGACCTAGGTTAACACACTTAGTCTCGTGTCGACAACGGTCCACAGGACGGGGTGGCGGTGGAGGACTGTGTGTGGTGTCCCGGTCCCTTCAGGAGGGAGAGGGTGGGGACGACGTCTTAACTAACCCTTGGCCTAGGGGATACTGCTTAAAATGGGGTTTTGGGGTGTGAGGCACTGAACAGTACAACACTGTCTCACTGGCCTCCCCCTATATGCTGGCTAACATACCACTAATGGAAAATATATGTCTCAGTCATGGCTCGCCGGGTGCCTTATCTCTAGTAAAACAAACTTTGGAGTTGGTTGCGTGGGTAATCCTGACGCAACCCATGACAATTCTCTTGATTTAAATCATAGAATTTCGTGGAGAGTGTATCCATATTTTTCCTCACTAGCCCAGTAGTAAATTGAGTTTTCAGGATCAAACCATCATATACTGTAGGTGTTCATAAGTTTTTACTTTAAGTTCATGTTTCTTTAAAATGGATTGAAAAACAGAATGAGCTTTTCTAAAAAAAAAAAAAGGAGAAAAAGAAACAGCTTGAGGAGGAACATCTTGAATAGTTTTAGCTGCCCCAACTAATTCTGAGGACCATTACTAACTGACTGTTTCATAGATTTTATTTACAGTGAACCCTCACTTTACGCGGTTAATTCAACCCACGGCGGCCCGCGTAAAGTGAACAACATAATATATGGGATTAATTGAAATAGAGACCGGGCCGACCCCCAAACTCCACTTTTTCAGACACAATACCTACGTTGTAGTAAAAATAACTTCATAATTTTATGATGGTATGCACACACAATTAATAATTAAGAGAAATATCAATAATATTAGATTTTTTAACACTTACATTAGTAGAAAAGATGGCTGGGCACACAGGGATGGGGGATTGGTTCCGAGGCAGAGGGCAGATTATTGGCCCTCACCTGTATCACTTGTATCAATTGTATCACTATCCACCACAGAGGCTTGCAGGGCCTCTTTGTCAAACCCCTCAAAGTCCATATAAGTCCATATCCTCACTATCATTATCACTATCACTGACTTGGGCCGGCTGTGGTGGGTGGCGGGTGAAGAACTCGGTAATGTTTTGATGACTGGGCGACCTTGTGCGCACCCTGCTCGCGCCGCTCTCTGCGTAAAAGGGTACACACACCGCGGAAAGTGAGCATTCCGGTTTCGGCAGGGTACCGCGTAAACGTGGAAACGCGTAAAGTGGGACCGCGTAAAGCGAGGGTTGACTGTACTTATTTATTTTGGCATACGTAGTCTATACTGATTTGCCAAATTTTTGTCTCATTTTTGTATGAACAATAATGTTCATGTAAATTTTATATACAGTACAGTATGTTACAGGTATTTCTTTGAGTTGAATGCAAATTTTCTTGTACAGTATCAGCAATTCACTTTGCACCCAGAAACTGTAGACACTGCAGTTACCGTCTCATTCCCATTCTCTTTATTTTGTTTTCTGTACTTAATTTATCAGTAGAGCTTTGATGAGACTTAATGTTTTGTAGGTTACAACATGGCTGGAAAAGCAAGGATTGTCCAAAGAGGAAAGCAGAAAAATTACAACAGATTTCCTACAGAAGTTTCGAGAATCTCCAGCTCCAGATTACTCAACAGATGAGGATGGATTAGACAAGTGGAGAAGGAATATCTGGGCAGCAGCTTTACCTGAAATATATCATCAGTACATAGGTGTGTATATTTCCCATACTTAGAGAAGCAAAGAGAAAAGTGTATCATCATTAATACAGCTTCCAGTGATGTATTAGGTAGAATTAGATTACTTAAATGACCCAAATCTACTGGTTGAAAACTAATGAAAATATTTTTTATATTCCCCCACCCAACCATAGCCTTTAAAGAAGATGGTTTAGAAGCAAGGATTGTAATTTAGGGTCATGATATTACATTAGCCTATGAAGACTATGCCTATCACATGGGTCATTCTTAACTCTAATTCCTTGAATTTGGAATATTAGAACCCAGTTCCTTAACCAGAAGGTCTAGGAGTACTTTTGTATAAAATTTTAAAAACATTTAAATTTTGTCCACGTGTGGGCTTAAAACACATTTTATCTATAAAGTGAGAAGGAACCTGTTTAAATGGTAAATTCAGTATCTTCTTGATAAAATGTATATAAAGGTGATTTAAAACAAACGGGCACAGTGTAATGGATGTTTAACCCCGATGCCCCGGGCTAGGGTGCTGCTTTTCCAAAAATAATTTTTAACCTTTTTAAATGATAAAACAATAAAAAAGAAGCAAGAAAAACTACATATTGACCCTCTAGAAACTTCCTTGGGGCAACAGTGGCGAGGGGGAGATGGGGACAGTGTTGTTTGACTCGTGGTCACATGCGCACCTAGCAGCCATTTTCTGCTTTCCTTTGTGTCCGGGACAGCCAGTAATGCATATATTTACTGATCATAATACTTATTTCCTAAAAATAATTCATTTAGAATTTATTTTATTTGCATTATTTTTCATAAAAAGTTCTCGGCAACACACGCAGTCTGTCTCCAGGCTGTCTGGCTCTCTCTGTGTTTGGGAGAGCAAGTAATGCTTAGAAATAATTATCGGAATAATAATTCCACAAGTAAATACATTTACAAGTATAACATAATTATAGCATTATTTTTCAGTAATACTACACTACTTTTAGCAATACTACTTTGATACAACATGATAAAATGGACAAACAATGAAAATTAAACAAACAAAAGTAGGTACAGGGGACTTACATTCCAAAAGCTTCCCTGTGGCTGAGCGTGTGGCGTGACACGCAAATAGTCATGCTGGAACCTGATAACCCACGCTGGGCATTCGAACAATGCCGCGAAATGGTGCGCGTTCCGGAACGTCAACCGGGGCGTGGGAGTTAAATATTCCAAATGTTACTTATTTCAAGGCTCATTAATTAACACTAATTACTCAAATTTTAAAATTTTTACCTCAGATCCTTAGCCAGCATGTAAAGGAGTACAGGGGGTCCTCACAATACATTGTACCAGTATACAGTATGTCATATACATAAAACATCACAGACAAATATAGGTAGAAATTGTCATTACAGGTGCTCCTCTACTTACAAACGAGTTACGTTCCTGAGGCTTGTTTGTAAGTCCAACTTTACTCTTGTAGATACCAAACATATTGTAAAAAATGAAAAGATTATGGATATTTAGTACAGTGATATCCTTTAATACAGCCTTAAAACCTGGCTCACTCTTCTCCTCTTAGGTAATGTTTGTTCTATCTGGAATTTTCTTCAAAATAATCCAGTCTCATCCACATTAAACACCTGTTCTGGCAGGTAACCCCCTTCAGTGATAATGTTTGTATTTCTGAAAGTTTGTAAGTTGAACGTTCTTTAGAGGAGCACCTGTATATGCCAATTGTTTCACATACTGTATACATTGTCTGCATCATTCACTGTTTTATACCAAGTCTATGTGTACCCGAATATGACACATAACTTGTGGTAAAAGCATCTAATATAATGTAAAAACAAGCATAATAAGTAATAAAAGTGCCGTACAAGTGTTAAGTTTCTAGCATGCCAAAATATGTCAGTGAGCTCTGACTGACCTGCAAGCTAATGCCATTGTTATGTGTAAGTAACCACAGAATTAGCAGAATTTTTTTTTAATGTGCTGGTGTGCCTTATTAATAAAGAAAATACTGTACAGTATACTCTACAGTGAGTTCTGCTATAACGCGTGTTTTGATAACGCGAATTTGCTCTAACACGATTTATGAATTAGGAACGATATTTGTATAACGCGAACGCTTGTTTGCTATAACGCGATTTTTGCTTACTATTTCTCCAATTTTGTGGTACAGTGGGGTATGCTATAACGAATCTAATTGGTTCTAGAACCTTGTTTGTTATAGCATTCTTTTGTTATAGGATTAATCCGTTCCAGGCCCCCAAATACAACCACTTAACACTGAAAAATATAATATAAAATTGTAAAAATTGTAAAAAGTGCATAAATATGCATCTAAACCCCTGAAATAAAGAATATCATTAATATTTGTAATAATAAAACAATAAATTAGAAAAAAAAAAATTAAATTATGTTCGTTGTAGGAGTTTCGTTTGTTATAGCATTCTCAATTTTATAGGTAAAACCGTTCGTTATCGGAATATTCATAGTAGGATCCGTTCGTTATAGCATACCCCACTGTATTAACTGTGAATATAGTAAAGAAGAATATCAACAAGAAGCGTTCTGGTGATAGAATTCCCGGTGATGATCGTAAAAGAAAGGATATAACACTTGAAGAGAAGCTCGATTTTATCAACCTCAAAATCACCCTTCTCCCCCATCAAGTAAAGTGTTACATTTACTGTATGATTTCATTATTAGATATGAATGTAACATTTATTTAGACTGTGCTATCCTTTGTGTTAGGCTAACTACTAAATTTTTTCGATTTCGAGTAATCTGCACCTAACCCTATTTTCTATTACGCGATTTTCTATAACACGATATTTTACAAGAATACAATTATCGCGTTATAGCAGAACTACCTGTATAGTGATATAAAGTATGGAAAAATAAGAGTGTAGGGGCATATACTACTACTACTACTACTTGGCTGTCACTCGGAATTTAGTTTGGCATTCATCCAGCTATATAGAAGTCACCCTCGTTGGTGAGCTCTGAGATGACTCGAGGGGCCTTCACCGTTTTGGGGTGATGTGAAAGGAAAGTTTGGTTCTGATGAGCCGATGATCTGTGTCATGGTGGTCTGAGCCACGCATGTCTCGGGTGATGCGGACATCTCGGCGATCTCTTTCTCTAACAATGATGATGTCAGTGAGATGCCAATGTTTGGATTGTGGGTGTTGCCAAGAATCCTTGAACTTCCCAACTTGCCTAAAGAAGGTGTTGATGAGGAGGAGTAGGCCGTTGGGATTACACTTGCCCACTCCGATTTTCCCTATGGTTCCCTGCCAAAAGTCAGCATCTCTGCCAACTTTGGAACTGAAGTCACCGAGGAGTACAATCTTATCTTCTCTGGGGATAAAGGGTAGCACTCTGTCAAGGTCAGCATAAATGGCCTCCTTGATGTCATCCTCTGCATCCAGTGTTAGGGCATATGCACTGTTGAGGAAAGCATGGCGTGAGTAATTCAATGGGACTCAGAGTGTCATGAGGTGCTAGTTGACCCCAATCAGCATTTCATTTAGCCTATGTAGGATGGGTTAGCAAATGGCAAACCCAACTCCATAAATGTGGTTTCTCTCCGCAGCCGGCTTACCCTTCCAGAAGAAGGTATGGTATGTTACCTGATGCGGGGCTCCACCGCAGATTTTTTGTTTGGGGTTTACTCTTGTAGCTTTATACCTACCAAGGTTAATCTGCAAGACAGTGGTTGGCAGTGATTGTAGGTACCAGGGTGTGCCCACATGGCGGTGGCCAATGCGCTGTCCCTCTGGGCCCAGCACAGCAGGAGTGTGGGAGACTATCGAGCCTAGAAACCACCCTAACACATGGGCACTTGTTTCCTGTGAGAAACCATAAAAGTTGTGGAAATATCATTGTTAGACTAGTGTAATTACTAACCCTGTTACTTGCTTAAAGACCTTTGTTGTTAGATGCACAGTACACAGTGAATTCTGTGTGGGAGAGGGGGAGATATGGTGGGTGAGTGGCTTGGAGGATTTCAACAAACCCCTCCCTCTGCTCCGGCAAGCCCAGGACACCTTTAAAATGACACTATGGATCATTACCATGCTTCCCATATTATTGAGCTTCATGCAGTGTCGGGTTAATAAAACATTTGTCTTCTGCACTCATTAAATAATTTGTCGTGTATTTATCAGCTCTTAATAAATAATATTGTAGTGTCTTATGTATCGACACATACCCTGGTTTATTCATTAATCAGTTGTCTAAGTGTACAAGTAACCAAATTTAGTCATCAAGTATCACTCAAAGGTAAAAAATAACTTTGTTTGGAAGGTATCTCCAGGTCAAATACTATACAGCACAGTACAGTATAGTCTCGATTTATGCGGATTTGTTTTACGCGTTTGGTCATTTACGCGGCACCTTGCCAGACAGACAATTTTTATTTACACAGTTCATTCCATCATTTACGCGGGAAGCGGCGTGGGCAGGGTGCACACAAGGTCGCCCAGTCAACAAAACATTACCGAGTTCTTCACCCGCCACCCACCACAGCCGGCCCAATTCAGTGATAGTGAGGATATGAGCTTTGAGGGGTTTGACAAAGAGGCCCTGCAAGCCTCTGTGGTGGATAGTGATACAATTGATACAAGTGATACAGGTGAGGGCCAATAATCTGCCCTCTGCCTCGGAACCAGCCCCCCATCCTCGTGTGCCCAGCCATCTTTTCTACTAATGTAAGTGTTAAAAAACCTAATATTATTGATATTTCTCTTAAATATTAATTGTGTGTGCATACCATCATAAAATTAAGATGTTATTTTTACTACAACGTACATATTGTGTCGGAAAAAGTGTAGTTTGGGGGTCAGCCCAGTCTCTATTCCAATTAATCCCATATGTTCTGTTATTTTGTTTACACGTTCCTTATTTTACGCGGACATCCACGGGTTCAATTGACCGCGTAAATGGAGACTATACTGTATGTTATAAGTACCCTGTTGCAAGATGATTTGATGAAATCTTTCTCTCTAGGAAATCATCCTGAGCTTTCAATGGGTATTACTGTGCATATTTAAATGCATATAGTACCCCTCATTACATTCATTCTTAGAAGAAAAATTTCTTACTTAAAACATTTCTCTACTGTATAAGCTGCTCTTCTTAGAAACACATCCACAGCATATAATGGAATGACCTTGTACCCATTTGTATGAAATTTTAACAGAATCTAAATTATGACCTCATGTACTGAAAGTCATTGGGTTGTTGGGGCAACAAACACCTTTTTTTCTGGAAAGTGAAAACTAACATTTTAAAATGGTAAAGTTAGTCTATATTCTTCAGAAAATGTATACAAAGGTCACTTAAAACTTACTGGTACAGCATAATTGATTTTTAAATACAGTACCTTATTCTAAATGTGTTTAATCATTTCGAGGGTCATTAATTGACATTAATTGGGCCGTCTCAATTTATACAGTAGTTGTGTAGTATGTTTGGTCTATTCTCTTTAGTTCTCTTCACAAACACACACTATGATTTAGTGATGTTCTAGTACTGGGAGATGGGGAAAGAAAAACTATTGTACAAAATAAAGTTTATTCTATAGAATGTTCAGTGGAGTGCTGGAGGCTGTAGCTGCTGCTGGGTGAGAGGTGTTATTGCCATGGCTGGTGAGAAAGAGTGAAGTTGATTGCTGACACGCCCCTTTTATCCCCGTGCGGTGCTGTGAAGGAAACCAGTGGTGGTTGTTATTGGTCCAGTGGCATTCTGTGCTCGGCTGATCTGATTGCCAATCAGCGTGCTGGGACCAAGAACAGTGGCCCGTGGTTGGCTAACACTGATGCTCAATCAGCGCATGGAGCAGGAGAAAGTTCATGCTTGTGTGATTTTGTAGGGTGTCCCCTACAGTTGCACTCTTGAAAATGGCCATGTAACTAAAAAAAACATGTAAATTAAACATCATTTTCCTATAAGAAATAAAGGGAATGGTGGGGTTAGAGAGAGTAGCCTCAAAACTCATTCTTAGGTCTATACATACTGTACTGTACTGTAGATATGAAATCTGTACTGTATTTCTTTCACTTTGTTTTATTTTTCATTGTATGTATTTGTTACTCATTAATAAAGATATTAAAGATGATAGAATACAGCTAAATCAATGTAAATTGAACTACCCTTGGCTTGAATCAGGAGTATGCTGACAGGCACATTCCACTGGTTTTGATCCTCGTTCCACAAACTCGGCATCATCACCATCTTCTCCATGATCAAAGTTCGTACATATGATGTCTTTGTGGCACTCACCGAAGTTACAGACTTTGCACTTTCTTTAATTTGGGGTTCAATTTTACGTATTGTCTGGATGGTACTTGCATTAGGGCTAAGCAACTGACCGATATTAGCTATGCTTTCTCCTCTCTCAATGCAGCTTATTATGTCTAATTTAACACCAACAGTGATGGCCTGTCATTGCTTCTTGGGCTGGATGGCACCCTTGGATGTGGATGAGCATTTGCCTGTCATCATCAGAGTACTATCCTATGTTTGAGGGTTGGTGACCACAGTCCTCCACTTTAAATGTTTTCAGGCTGTTTTTACCAATCCTCCCAAGACTGTATCTCTCTGGGGATCTAGTTTTTAATTTCATTCATCCATCCCAGTCTATGTCTTCCCTTGGCCCTCCTACCTCAAACTTGGTTCATTAATATTTCTATTATTATCACCTCATCCCTAATTATATGACCAAAGTATCTAATTTTTCTTTTTCTGTACATTTCAAATAACTCTCTTGAAAGTTTTTGCTAACCTTAGTACAGGGTACTATATTTCATTTGTTTTCCTTTTGGTGTAACTTATTCTTAGGATTCACCTTTAACATCATATTTCAAATTCCTCCAACCTCTTTCTGAAGTTAATGGACCTTTTCAGTAGGTTCTTTAGATTATTAAATGCTGTTTATACTGAACCTATTCTTGTTATAATTTCTTCTGTACATATACCATCATAGCTAATGTTACTTCCCAAATACACAAAATTTTCTACTTGTTTAAGTTCCCTGTTGCCAACCGTAATTGTTATTTTTGTATTTACAGTGGTCCCTCGGTTAACGAGCACAATGCGTTCTAGAAGGTTGCTCGTTAACCGAAAAACTCGTTAACCGAAACCATTGTTTCAATGGGTTTTGGGGTAATTTGTTCCAGCTCACTGAAAATTGCCTAAATTCAACAAAAAAGGTAGAAAAGTACACTTACTTTGAGGTGTGTATGTAGAAGGCTCCTGGATGATGATGATGATGATGATGATGATGATGGGAATTAGAATGGGGGTGGAGGAGAAGAGAAGGCATTGGGGTGGAAGAGAAGTCACCCCATAGCGCCATTTCACCCATAAAATTTTAGTTCTCTTGGTGTAACTCAAGATTATGTTATTTAAATCAACACTGCACTGCATTATATATTGTCAATATGTAAAATAAATTTCAAAATGACCAATAATTTGCTTGCAAACACACAAAAAAGCATTTAGTTGAAGAGAGTCTCAAGCAAGATGTTACCTCCACTGAAAAGACACAAAGACTGACGCCTGTATGGTGTGTTGGCAGGCTGGATGGCATGTTCAATAATTGTTAAAATTACTAAAAAATTTAATATTAAACTTTTACAATTATTGAATAGTATAAACTTCTTGATATTTACTAAAATGGTAAGGAATTTAAACCCTAGAACCGATTACTGTACTGGCGGACTAATACTACAGCTGGTGGACCGCCAAATGCAAGCGAAAACATGTTCAGGTCAGCTCGTAAGAAACTCGTTAATCGAGGGATTGCTCGTTAACCGAAGTTAAGAATCTTATGGAAGGTAACTCGTTAACCAAAATCTCGTTAACCGAGGGACTGTATTCCCAATTTGGAAACAACCATTACTTTTATCTTACAGCATTAACTCTTGGCCCATATTTTTCAACTTTTTCCACAAATCTTTTAACCAGTTTTTGTAAAGCTTCTTTAATCTCTGTGATAGGAGCAGTATTATCTGCATAGCATAAATTATGTGATGCTACATTGCCATTAACTTTTATTCCTTTATCTTCACTTATAACTTCTTTCATTAAATCTGTGTAATTCGAGGGGCAGCTGTACTCTATTAAACTCAGGTCCTCAACCAGCATGTAAAGGAGTACAGTACCTTTGTGTAAAATTTGAACAAAATAAAAATTTTGGTAAATTTTTTTTGGGGGGAAGTGAAAAGTAACATGCTGAAATGGTAAAGTTAATTATGTTCATAGAAAAACGTAATTTAATACATACAGGCATGGCATGATTGACATTTTAATTATTCTAAATTAGTTGCACAGTAATTATATCAAGTGCCATTAATTAAACTCATCTCAGTCTTTCAGGACCTCGAGTTAACTGCCCGATCAGGGGATCAAATCATTGAATTAAGTTTTTCTGGGTGTGAAGTGCAGTTTACAACTCATCACATTTTGTGAAGCCTCATGCATCCAATTGCAAGAAATTTATCTAGGTTTTATGATTATTTTTACTTAAGTTGTTTCACTAAATAGAATAAAATTTGGAATAATGTAATATAAATTTAAATTTCAGGAGATGTGTACTCGTTATGGAAGTCCGAGAGGCTGAAGCATCTGTCTTTCAAGCCATGTGTAACCACCATGCTTGATGAACTTGCTCCTGACTTTAACCTTGGCCTCATTACTAATGGTGAGCCAGAATGTATACTTGTTCTTTGTCAACTACAGTACATGTATTATCATTTTAGATGACATGTACACAGTACAAGGAGAGCTCATGGTTTGCCAGTATCATAGTCTTAGGTGGTGGTCATGTCATCACTGGCATATTTTTTTTTTTTGGGGGGGGGGGGGAATAGCCCACCCAGGCACAGGTCACTGACCCACATCTGTGCCTGGGGGACAAAAATGGAATAATAATAATAATAATAATAATAATAATCACAATAATAATAATAATAATTAAGATAAGTAAGGTTTTTAATAAAAATAACAAAAATAAAAATAATAAAATAATAATGATAACAATAATAGTAATAATAACAGCACTGCAATAATAATAATAATAATAATAATAATGATACAAAAAGAACCATTAAGAAATACAAAAATGAAAAAAAAGATGAAGAATGAGAAACAATACAGGTATACGGTATATATGTTGTGTTGTCAATGGTAAGAGAAACAATTGAGACCCTGCAATTGTGTGTAAATGAGGCAGAAAGTCAGATCAGCAACCTGGGACTTGGTCACAATTTTTGTGATGCCATATGGCAGCAGGGTCTACCATTAGACAACACATTATGCTTCCAATATCTTCCTAGGTGGTAGTACCTCCCTGTTTGGTAGCTGCCTGCTACCTACTGAAATGTAGTGTTTCGTCCAACTTTACTTTTACAGGCACTAAGTTTTCCTTACTGAATGATAATGTAACGTTGTGATTTTAGATCTATATACTATATACTATATTCTAATATACAAACAAATATTTAAAAGATATTTTATCATTATTGACAAAAAATTATTTAGAATTAAGCTGTAAAATTTTGTAGAAGCATATTCCTTTTCATAATTTTTTAACCAGAGCCCTTGATGTCTCAAAAGTTTTGCCAAACAAAACTCAGGAAAAGAGTCCTCAGGCAGCATAGTTTTCAGGAATAATATGCTGTACTTGTTCAAAGTTTGGTAAGTTATTGCAAAGGTCAAACATTTTCAAATGTCTGACATTTTAAGTAGAAGTTTGACTAATGATAAAATCAGCAAAATAGGGATTTGAACATAAAGAAAACTGTGAATAGGATAAAACGGTGATTGTTATCATTTAATCCTATTTTATAGCATACATCAGGATAAGGAAATTGCATGTATAGTTAGAAACCATTTTTAATTTGGGACTTGAATCAAGGCCATTAAGTTTGATAGACTATCCTTCGCACTGGGGTCCTGAGGGTAAGAAAGTACCATAAAATGGAAAAAAGCTCAAGAGTTGCCATGAGCACAACATGAGATTCCCTGATTCATTCATTGCAATTAACACTTACAAAGCATTCAAACCTGATTAGTCACATCAGATTCCATTCACTTTTTGCACAGCACAGATGCTCTATTCCAGCACTTTGCTTGTGGATAGCAAAGTCTACTCATCATGATAATGAAGAGTCACATAGAGCATTGTGTGGCCATGCATTCTAAGGTACTTCTGTGGGTTTTCAGACTGTGCTTTAAGTGTTTATTTTGTTAATGACTCGTGTCCAGTTAGCTAGTGAATAAGTTTTGGGGCCAACAGCATCATGCAATGTGTTAAAAAATCCAATGTGTATCAGATTGTGGTTTATAAGATAATTGTGTACCAGATAAAGGAGATATCGGGCCCAAGACTAGCTACACTTTACCCTTGTTAATTTAGATCGTTAAAATTCGGATTTTGGATTAATTTTTGTTTTTTCAAAAGTGAATTAAACTATTTGAATTCTGCAAAGTCGATTATTATTATAGGAATATATTATAAAATAGATTAAGATGAATGAATTATAGGAATGGAACGTGAATTATATAAAGATACAGTGTTCCCTCAATTAATGAACACAATTGGTTCCACAGAGTCGGTTGTTAACCGAAAATTTCGTTAACTGAATATTATTTCAATGGGATATTGGGTAATTGGTTCCAACTCACAGAGAAAGTATACATACAAAGTACTGTATACCGGTAATAGAATAAACGAAACATTAAATATAAACTAAATACAGTACTATATTTTAACTTACTTGGAGGTGTGTATATCATATTTCCGGCAGATTTGTTTACATATGAAACAGCTGATTGTGGAGGCAGTCGACGATGACATGTCATATTCTTTACAGAGTGCATTGGTTCTAACGCCTTCTTCATGTTTCATAATAATTTCTGCACTGTATATTGTCAATATGTTAACTAAATTTCAGAATGACCAATAATTTTGATGTAAAAATGCAAAAATATTCAAGAGACCAACAAACTCGATGATCATTCCACTGTAAACAAAGTTAAACTGAGAAGCGTTGGTGTGTGTTTCGATCAGCTGAAGGGCACACAAAAACTGTTCCCTGTACTGTATATATTATCAATATGTTAACAAAATTTTAGAATGACCAATAATTATAATATAAATATGCAAAAATATTCAAGAGCACAATTTTCTTGATACTGTATTTACTCCACTGGAAACGAATGTAAACATAGAACCAATTACTGTATTGGCGGACTAGCCAATCAGCTGATGCACACAACAAAGCATGTTTCTCGTAAGGCTGTTGTTAATCAAAGTTTTGTTCGTTAATGGAACTGAAAATCCTTATGGGAGCTAATTTGTTAACCAAATTTTTTTTAATTGGACCGTTCGTTAATCGAGGGACCACTGTACTGTATAAAACTAGGTTTGATGTGTAGCAGGGAATAGGAGGAGGTAGGGATGACAACTCACCAGCCTGCGATCCATTTATAATGACAATATGTAATTTCACCATAATTCCCATATTATTTAGGTTAGTTTAGTGCCGGGTTAGTAAAACATTAAAAAATAAATAAATAAATCGCCCTAAATTCCCACACTATTGTGCTGTAGTATATAGTCCCGGTCTCTTGTTTAAAGAGCAGTAACAGCTGATTGTTCCTGCTCTCCCTAACAGTGTTGCCAGCACTAACCATCTCTCAGGCACCGTTATTGTCACTGCTCAAGAGGGTTGGTGCATACCACAGGTTCTTTGTTGACCACTTAGTAAATAATATTGTAGTGTATTTATCATATTTATCAGAACTTAATACAGTAAATATAATTGTAGTGCATAATACATCTCCATATGCCCTGGTTTATTCACTGATCAGTTGTCTAAGTGCAAAAGTAGCCAAATCGAGCCATCATGTATCGATTAATTTTAAAATAGAAATTAGATTATAAGACAATAGTTTAGTAGTGCTGTTAATGTCAGTGCTGTGTAAGTGCCTTGTCATCTCACTTCTCGCCTCGTCACCTCACTTCTCGCCTTGTCACCTCACCCCTCGTATTGTCACCTTACCTCGCAGTGTTAAATTTATTTATTACTGTAGAGTCATCTCTCAATTTACACGGATTTAATTTACACCCTTTAAAAATAACAGTGGTAATAAAATAATGCCTATTTTTAAAAAAACACAAAGTTTTTTAATAGCCCGTTTTTGAAGACTGCCTGTCAGCATAGTTCAGTACATACTTCATTGCTTTCCTACTTTATGAAAAAGAAAAAAAAGTAACATCACCTGAACCTCAGCTATTGACATCTATCATCTCAAAAGCTCTCACTTCTCTTCCCCATCATCTGCTCTGTCATTTGATTCAGATGACTCCCTCCCCCAGTAACTCTCCTCCATCACCAGTAGTTCCCGCATGCCATCCCACCCATCATTCAACATAATTGTTAGCATTTAAAATCTATTTTCTTACTGCTACTATTATTGTATTATTATTATTATTGTATTATTATTATTATTATTGTATTATTATTATTATTGTATTATTATTATTATTATTATTATTGTATTATCATTATTATTATTATTATTATTGTATTATTATCATTATTATTATTGTATTATTATGTTATTGTACATAAAACGTATTGAAGGAAATAGATAAACAAATAATTTTTTTGTCAATTTGAGGAAGGTATAGTGTACTGTACTAAGAGGTTTCCTGTTTGATTTGGTGCAATAGCTCAAGAGGTCATAAAATCTCCCTGTAATAAGTATACTGCATGCACTTTCATGTTCAAGAACATAATCAAATTCTTCTTAGTATTTGATTGTTGGGTATTCTGAACTACAGTTAACCCTCACTTTACGCGGTTAATGTAACCCGGAGGGTCCCACGTAAAGTGAGAAACGCGTAAAGTGAATAACATAACATATGGGATTAATTGAAATGGAGTCCGGGCCGATCCCCAAACTCCACTTTTTGACGACACACAACTATGTTGTAGTAAAAATATTATCTTAACTTTATGATGGTATGCACACACAATTAATAATTAAGAGAAATATCAATAATATTAGGTTTTTTAACACTTACATTAGTAGAAAAATGGCTGGGCACACGGGGATGGGCGGTTGGTTCCGAGGCAGAGGGCAGATTATTGGCCCTCACCTGTGTCACTTGTATCAATTGTATCACTATCCACCACAGAGGCTTGCAGGGCCTCTTTGTCAAACTCCCCAAAGTCCATATAAGTCCATATCCTCACCATAATTATCACTATCACTGACTTGGGCCGGCTGTGGTGGGTGGGGGGTGAAGAACTGGTAATGTTTTGATGACTGGGCGACCTTGTGCGCACCATGTTCGCGCCGCTTACACAACATGGCGGATGGCGGGAGGTTTGGATCCAAAAATGGCGCGGCTCGCCAGCCGCTCTCCGCGTAAAGGGGTACACGCACCGCGGAATGTGAGCATCCTGGGTTCCGGCAGGGCACTGCGTAAACGTGGAAACGCGGAATGTGGGACCGCGTAAAGTGAGGGTTAACTGTATATCATTCAGTGTTAACAATTTTAGGTTGCTTTTCATGGTGATTTGTTGTAATTTCTGTACAGTAAGATCTTGTATTTCGCGAGTAATATAGACTGGAAAAATTGCGCCAAGTTCAAATTCACCAAATGCAAATACATAAACTAATGGGAAAAATAGCAATATAGACTAGTCACTCTACAGCAGCCTCTGATTTTCCCATTTATAACCTCCAAATGTTACAAATTCTGCCTTTATTGACCTGATTGTGCTTTCCGGAAACTAGTTTTTAGGTCTTCCTCAAGTAACTTAATCACACGCTGCTTATGATAATCTCGCTTCTCCTTTCCCTTATTTGGCCACTTATGTGGCTCTGTCCCACCCCCACCAGCACCAGTAGGACCCCCAGTAGAGGAAGAGGCCATTATCTTGACTCGACAGGTAGTAGCACCACCCAAAAAAGCACAATAGCAGCCCGGGCGGTCGCTAGGATGGCACGGGCTACAACACGATACTGTAGTTGCGTTCTTGTAAACCTCTTATGTTCACCATTGGCAATTCGATCACCAGAACGCTTCTTAGAAATATTCTTCTTACCTTGTCTTTCCATATTCATCGCTAACACAGCAAAATTGAAGAAAACAGCGAAAATCACGGGGTAATCGACAGGAACCGCGCGATTCAGCTGATCACATGGTGTAAACAGTGAGCGCTGGTGTAAATCGTTATTAGCCTTCACTGCGAAACAGTCTTTTTACTTATTCTTTTCACACAGTATTTCTGTGTAACAGCTAAATTTGCAAAAAAAGAACAAAATTTACAGAGTACAGCTTGACCCCGACTTACGATGGGGTTAGGGACCCAAATCCAGGTCGTAAGTCCGACATAGATAATTTTTTTTTTTTTTTTTTTTTTAATAAAAAATCTACAATGAAATACAGTACAGTAAAAGTAATGAATAATGAGGAATGGATACAGCACAGTGAAAGTAATAAATAATAAGGAATGGATACAGTGTGACTGAGCACTTACCTTTAATGTAGTCAGCTGAATGCACATGGGGCCCCCATAATTTCCTAATTATACATGGAGACTACATTAACTGGAAACGTTTCGGTATAGAAAATGCGTGCGTTATTTGAAAGAAAAAAAAATTAATAAAAAATCTGCGGCGGTCGTAAGTCCCGACGGTCGTAAGTCGTAGCAGTCGTAAGTCGGGGTCTAGCTATACAGGGCTGCCTTACTTATTGCAAAGGTTATGGGCATGAAACTCGTTGCGAATATCGAAACTGCGAATAGCGGAGCAATTTCTCCCATAAGAAATAATGTAAATAGGGGGGATACGGGTATCGTGGTGGTCACGGCCGTCAGATTTTGACACTTGTTTTCCTCAATACATTAAGGACATAAAATAGATAAAGAAACAAGGGCATAATATCAACTAAACATCAATAACACACAATTTACTTTATTAGGCATATATGTTTACAGGTACAGTATACTTTACATGTTTGAATGTGTGAGTATTTGAATGTTTATGTGTGTAGGTGTGTGAGGTAAGTTTTAAACGTAGACTGTTAATTTACCTCTGATGTGCTGTGTTGCTTGCTTGCTGAAGTTGACATTACGGAAGAGGGTGAAGGTTTACTGGAGTGAGAGGAGGCTGGGGTCCTCAGCCACCTCACTCTCCTCACGTCCAAAGGTAACTGCCACACGTGATCTCTTAGCAACATTGCTGGGAGTTTTAGTAGCTGGTCACTTAGGCATTGCGAGATCGCACAAAACACACGCCAGCACATGTGAGACTGAGGCAAGTGGGAGCGTATAGCGGAGGAATACGTACACACGCTGTCCTACGCTACGGTTGAGGCATGCGGTTCTTTTTGCTCGTAAGAATTTGCGAATAAACGGGGTTACGAATACCGAGGCTATGAATAACAGGGTTTCCCTGTACCTCCCAAAAAATACTTCACAATCAAAAGACACGAACCAATTGAACATGTGATGCCGAACGTGAACTGCAAACATTGCATAACCCCGCGCCACGCTTAAAACGTTGATGATGGAATCAAAACATTGAGGATGGAATCACGCTATAGTCAACATTCGTATGCAAAAGTTCGCGTTTTACAAACGGTGTTAACCTATTCATCAATCGCATTACAACCAATTCGTGTTGACAAAACACGCGTTGTAGCAGAAATGACTGTAACTGGTATGAGGGCTGTGACATCATTCAAGACGGTGGCCAGCATTCAGCTGGCTGGATCTCGCGAAACTCACGATATTTTACGCAAAATATATGACTTGGTTACATTAGGTAGTGCTCGCAAAATTCAAAAACACGAAATGAAATCGCTCAAAATATGAAATCTTACTGTATACTGTATCTGATCTTTCCCTCCTCACCACACTGATTTGATTTCCCTTTGGAACAATGGACCTTTAGAAAGCTACTTAGGGTTGTGTCCCATTAATTCAGTGCTTGTTGATTGACTCAAAATTATCTGAATTTTTTTGCATTTGTAAAAGTAAATCCCCTAAAATTTACACTATTAGCGTAACAAAGTATCATTACTTCAGTACCTACCATCTCTACTTAATGAGCACTGACTAATATACGTAACAAGTATCTGTTCCAATAGTGTTTTGTCTTTAGAGAAAGATTATCATTAATTCACTGATGGTAGTTTTGGTGTTTCAGGACCATCTGTAGCCCAGTGGGAGAAGATCAACCACACTGACTGCCAGAAGTACTTTGATTCAATTATTGTGAGTGGAGACTTGGATGTGGAGAAGCCCAGTAAAGATATTTATGACATGGCCTTCCGTGAACTACAGGTAAGTTCATACCCTAATTCTAAATCATGTACAGGGGGTCCCTGAGTTATGAACTGGTTCCGTTCCTGAGGGCGTTCTTAAGTCGGAACACGTTATGTGCATACTGTACTTACAGAACAATGTTTAAAATCTCACTATATCATAGCCTAAGTCCTTATATATATATCTAAAGTCACTTAATTTAAGACAAAAGAAGAAATAGAATGACAAAATACAGTAAATGAAAGTAAAAATTAAGTCCTCAGGTAAATAAAATACTGTAAATTTCAAACTTAACCCCATTTGAATCGGCAGGCGGGTGTAAGTTGGGGGACCCCCTGTATAAAAAGTCATTTCGATATAGGATGTCTTAAGATATTGGTGTCCCTCATTTAATGATGGAGTTGTGTTCCTGAAAAACAACGTTTCGTGAAATTATTGCTAAACGAAGGATAACAGCAAAGCACAGAGACAGCGAACAACAGGTTCAAACGGCAGGGTAGTAAATGTTTAATACAGTACTGTACTCTCTAATGATGATAATAAACGAGTTTCTTATAAACTGTTTCGAAGGTAAACTTTTGATTTATAAACACTAAACTTCTATACAAATGGTGTGGCTCGGAGTTAAATGATTTAGTGAGCACAAGAGGAGCCTCATTCAAACAAATTTGATGTATATTTCAAAAATTGAAAAAAAATGCTGTAATAAATAGTAAAATTGATACAGATTATATCAGAAAATACAATAGCACATATGTTATGTAGTACAAAGATTAGCTCCTTACACACAAAGTATCCTCTGGGTGATGCAACACAATTTAGCTGGGCAGTCACCCAATTGACTCAGAAATATGTGGCTGACTGCCTCGCTGTGCTGCATTTATGCCATGATTTCACATTGGAGGGAGTGGCTGGGCTAGGCCGGCTGGTAACAGTTATAGCCCACTGCCTCCCCACACACACACACACACATACACATGTCCACCCGGGCACAGGTCATCGACCGAAAAGGGGGCCTGGGGAGTGGGGGGAAAATAAATCAAAATTTGAAGTGAAAAAGAGAATATTAATCTTCACCACTAAGATGCAGGAAAACCAGCTTTTTGAAGTGAGACAGATTGTAATGGGATGGAAACAGAGAAGAAGGCAAGGCATTCTACATTTTGACTGTGTGAGTAAAGAAAGAACTACTACTGTATAACGAGCTATTCTAGTGTGTCTGACATCCACACACAAATGGTGGGCACCACTGCCTTGCTGGTGGTAAACAGAATGGCAAATCCACCGAACATTGCCTGTTCAAGTACTGTGTAGGTAAACCTCAATAAATGATGTCTCATTTAGCAATATTCCGCTTCAATGATGGTCATGATTAAGACAATCTCACGATATACGATTAAAAAAATTAGCTTTAACGATATCCATTGAATATCCATCGATATCCATTGGGTGGATTTATTGTTTTTTTTATCGCTAGTGCAAACTGGGTTGTATCTACTGAAATTAATCACTATGTTGCAAAGGTTCCAGCAATGCAAATTATATTTTTCTATGTCAAGTCAGTGACATTTTATAAGGAAACATATTTAACCCGATGCACCACGCATCTCGAACTGCAGTTGTCAGCCGTTGTAATATCTACCCACGCGCCGCCACACGGCCAACCTGCACACTACAGTCCTGCGTTTGGAACTTTGCCAATCGCATCTCCCCGTTATCACGTAGCTCCACAATTATCGTTCAGCATCTTTGGCTGTATATACATTTATATTGAACTGTGTTATGGTGACTGTCAAGTGATATTTTCTGTGTTTTTGTGATGTAAAGTGCTTCGCCTCTGTTGTTGTGAAAATTATGCAAGCAGTGTTGGCTGGTATCATTGTTTTTATGTTATCATCGTTCGCTCTGTTTTCGTGACAAGTGCTTCTGCTCTGTTTTTGTGACTGAAGTGAGCAGTGTAACTTTGAAAATGTCTGGGAAGGCCAAGGCATCCAAGACATCTGTGTCTCTGAGGTGAAGCTTGACATTGTAAAGCAGTATGAAACTCCCCAGAGGCTGTGTGGGAGTCGTACTGATGTCTCCACTCCTCCTACGTGAGCCCCCTTAGCCTTGAAGGGGACATGTGATGATGACCAGGCTTATTCCTCATGATGTGGTCAGTGTTGTTTAATTGTTTTCTATTGATATTATAAGTATAGGAATTATTTTGTCGGTGATGCATGTGTGTTTGGGAACGTATCCCATGTTATAATTCTCCCTCTCTACGATATTTCATTTAGCGATGAGTTTTTCAGGAGCCCCACCCCATCATTTATCAAGGTTTACCTGTACCTGTAAAAGAGAGGGTGAGGGTGGGAGTTAAGTTAGTCTTATAAATTTTAATCTTCACCCTTAATAATATTTTTTCTCTTTATACAGGTGAATCCAAATGAGTGTATCATGGTTGGAGACAAAATTGAAACCGATATCAAAGGAGGAGTGAATGCTGGGATAGGAGCAACTGTGTGGGTTAATGCCAGAAACAAAGTTGCTCCTGATGACATCCAACCAGATTTTATGATTGATAATGTAACCCAACTCCTAGATATTCTTCTTGATTTAACAGATGTTGAGATATCACAAAGTTGAAAGATTAAATTTCTTCACATAAAAATTTTAATCTTTGGGGACAATTTGAAATTTTTGCTTTTTTTTTCATTTAGTGGGAAATCTGCCTTCTTAAACAACATAATGTACAAAATGGAATGATATTCCTTTCTTTTACCCCCAAGCCTTTTCTTGCTTAATACAGGCTGTTGTAACCAAACATCCATACATTTTCCCTTCCTTCATTCACTCTTACTGCTGTAAAAGATGTGTTCCTCTATGGTTCTTTTCCTCAATAAGACTCCAGATCTTATCTATACCTGTAGCTTCACCTGAACCAACTTCACCCTTCAGGCACTGGTCCTTCATCAAAATTCTCTCTACTTCATATTCTGCACTATATTCCACTTCCCATCCTCAATATTTCACTGGCAAATCCATCCACTCTTGATGCCTTAACATTCTTAAGCTTCCTTTGTCAGTCTTGCTACTCCTCCCATTTTGCTCTGACGGTGTAATTGTGCCAGTCTTATATCTGTAATGTTTTAGAAGTTATTAAAATTATTTAATATAAAAATAAATTGTTTATACTGTATTACGGTAAGTTTCCATTACAACATTATGTCTCTGGTTCAATCTCCAGGCCAGGACAGAAGTGAGAATGGTGTGACCCTACCAAACATAGCAGGCCTCCTGTACTAGCACTGGACAAACCAACCTCCTGAATGGCTGGAAAGAGAATAAGTGGCAAAATTATAAAAAGCGAGGAATTAATTTGCTGATGTTTAAGCTTAACTTTTGGTAAAAACTAGAGAAATTAACTAGTTTAACACTTGTGTACCACCTTATTAATAATTAACCTTCCCTCCAATGCACAGAGTTAGCAGTAACTCACCCTACAGCTTAGAATTGGAGGTGGTGTATATTGATCAAAATACAGTACAGTGGTATCCCTCCTAACGAACGGTTCAATTCACGAAATTTCGGTTAACGAATTAGCTCCCATAAGGATTTTCAGTTCCATTAACGACAGCTGTACCAGAAACATGCTTTGTTGTGCGCATCAGCTGATTGGCTAGTCCACCAATACAGTCATTGGTTCTATGTTTACATTCGTTTCCAGTGGAGTACATATCAAGAAAATTGTGTTCTTGAATATTTTTGCATTTTTTATATTAAAATTATTGATCATTCTGAAATTTTGTTAGCATATTGATAATATATACAGTACAGGGAACAGTTTTTGTGTGCCCTTCAGCTGATTGAATCACCCACCAACGCTTCTCAGTTTAACTTTGTTTACAGTGGAGTGAACATCGAGTTTGTTGGTCTCTTGAATATTTTTGCATTTTTACATCAATATTATTGGTCATTCTGAAATTTAGTTAACATATTGATAATATACAGTACAGAAATTATTATGAAACATGATTAAGGCATTAGAACCAATGCACTCTAAAGAATATGGCATGTCATCACCGACTGCCTCTACAATCAGCTGTTTGATATGTAAACAAAGCTGCCGGAAATACAACAGACACACCTCAAAGTAAGTTAAAATACAGTATTCTAATGTTTTTATTTATTATTGTACAGTGTACTGTACAGTACAGTACAGTACTGTATTTAGTTTATATTAAATGTTTTGTTAATTCTATAACTAGTATACAGTACAGTCAACCCTCGCTTTACGCGGTCCCACATTCCACGTTTCCACGTTAACGCGGTGCCCTGCCAGAACCTAACGTGCTCACATTACGCGGTGCGTGAACCCCATTACGCGTAGAGTGTCCGGCGTGACGCTATTTTTAGATTCGCCCCACCCACCTGCCTGCCTGTGCTCTCGCCTCTCCCTCCTCCTCCCTCCCTCCCTCCTCCCTCCGCCTGGGCAAGCCGCGCGGTAAAGTTGCGCAGTGTGTGTCTTTGTTGCGCTATCACTGACGTCATATGACGTATCGGACTGTGATTGGCCATGCATCCCTTCCCCCCTCTGCTGCTAGCTGTAATTGGCTTAAAGTATTATGACGTGTCCACCCGGGAGAGGGAGGGAGGGAGGAAAGACAATCCTTGACCTTGCCGCGCCAGTTTCATCCCTCCACGCCAGACCGTGTAAACGTGCATCCATTGTTCTCTAAAATGGCTTCCGCCGGACCACCACCCCCAGAGAGAAACCTTTCCTTACTGGACCCAGCGGCACTAAGCCAAAGAAGCCACGACGTTCCTTAAGCTACGAGGTGAAGTATACCATCATCCAAGAGTTGGAGAAAGGAACAAGGCAGGTTGATTTGGCGCGCCAGCATGGTGTGAATGAATCTACAATTCGAACAATAAAGAAGGATGCAGCCAAGATAAAGGAGCACATGAAGATCACAAAGTCTACAGGTGCTTCTATGATCAAGTATTTTCACAACCAGGTGCTTCTCAAGACAGAAAAATTACTTGTGAGGTACTTGGTGCGTCAGGCGCGACGGAACATGGCGGTCGACACGCGCTCTGTTAAGGAGTACGCACGTGAACTGTACATTGCAGTGGCACGAAAGATGGGAATTACAGAGCCCAAACCCTTTAATGCTTCCTCTGGGTGGTTACAGAGGTTTAAGATCCGGAACAAGATCACCAATATAAACATTGGTGGTGAAGAAGCGAGTGCTGACCGTGCTGCGGCTAGGGAATTTCCTCCATTTTTACGTGAGATTATGGAGGAAGGACAGTACAGTGACGACCAGGTGTTTAACATGGACGAATCTGGTCTTTTCTGGAAAAAGCTACCTTCCAAGTCCTTCGTTGTAAAGAATACCAGCAAGATTCGGGGCCGGAAGATGCAGAAGGAACGCATCACCGTCCTGTTTACCACCAATGCCTCCTGGTACCTGTAAGCTCAAGTTATCGGTGATCCACACAGCACGCAAGCCGCACGCCTACAAAACCATGGACATGACCAAGCTAAATGTCCACTGGCTGACCGCACGTAAGGCGTGGATGTTCTCTACACTGTCCCTCTCCTGGTTTGATGACTGTTTTGTTCCCGATGTAAAGAAATTCTGTGAGCGACAGAATGTGCCATTCAAGATTTTGTTGCTGCTGGACAACGCACCAGGACACTCGCCCCTACTGTTAGATCGTCACCCCAACGTAAAAGTGGTCTTCCTTCCTCCCAACACTACGTCTATATTACAGCCCATGGACCAAGAGTTAATCTGTAATGTAAAAGCTGCATTCTCTACGAAAAAATTCAAACTCCTGAACGACTACACCAACACCAGGGAAGAGTTGCGCAACCTGAGTGACACCACCACCGATAGCAAGAGCGAAGAAGATGAGGATCAACAGTTGGCACAGCAAAAAATACTGTTCAAACAATTCTGGAGAGTATTTAACATCAAGAAAGCTGTGGACTTCTTGGTGGAGTCATGGGATCAGCTGTCTATTGCTACAATTCGTCACGCATGGAGACATGTGTTGCATGGAATACCAGGTGAGAGGAGGAGTCAATCTGTGACTGGTGAGGTTCAGACTGTTGCAGTAGCAGTGGACCTTGCCAGAGAAGCTGCGCAGAGTGTTACAGTTCCAGGCTTCTCCAAGACCACCAACGACGACATCATGGAGGTGATAATGGAACCTGATGTGACTACCGAGGAGATGGTACATGATGATGACGACGTCAGTGAAGAGGCAGGTGGTGCGTCATCCCAAGAAGAACAACACTTATCCCATAGTAATGTTAGGGGTGCCATCGAGTGTATCGAGAAAGCCAAGCTCCTCCTTTCCGACGACCCTGACGCAAACAGGTATGAAATCTTCACTACCCAGCTGTTGCAGACTATGGAGCCCTACATCAAGGTGTATCACGACAACATCAACACCAGCCGTCAGCAAAGCATAACAGATTTCTTCGCCCGCAACCCACCACAGCCAGCCCAAGCCAGTGATAGTGACAGTGAAGATGACTTTGAGGGATTTGTCAGGGAAGCCCTGACAACTGTAAGTGACAGTGATGGTGATGCACCTAGTAATGGTGATTCACCTGAGGGCCAGTAGCCTGCCCTCTGCCTCGGAACCAGCCTCCATCCCCGTACGCCGACCCATCTCTTCTACTAACGTAAGTGTTCCACCTAACTTTTAGTTTTCCTAACCTAACCTTTATAACCTTTATTTTTCCTAACCTAACCTCTTCTATATTACTTGTTTTTTCATACCATCATAAAGTTAAGATAAAATTTTTACTACAACATAGTTGTGTGTCGTCAAAAAGTGGAGTTTGGGGGGTCGGCCCGGACTCTATTTCAATTAATCCCATATGTTATGTTATTCACTTTACGCGTTCCTCACTTTCCGCGGGACCCTGCGGGTTACATTAACCGCGTAAAGTGAGGGTTGACTGTACTTTGTATGTGCTTTCTCTGAATTGGAACCAATTACCCGCTATCCCACTGAAATAATAGATTCAGTTAACGAAATTTTCGGTTAACAACCGACTCTGTGGAACCAATTGTGTTCATTAATCGAGGGACCACTGTATTAGTGCATATTCCCTTGAACTACTTAAGGCTTTTGTTCCCTTTGGTTTACTCTAAAAAGATGGGAGGTGTAAGAATAATAAATCACATGAATATACTGGTGAGAAAATTACCAGTAATGGAGTCAGGACAATGTCAGTGGATGTAGTAAGGACATTATCACGAACTTACCAGCATGTACAAGACGGGTTTACTGTACTGGCAAATGGTAGAGTAATCCTTCAGTAAACTATCATCTAGCCAAGGGGTTGCAATAAACCATAAGTACTGATTACTAAACATCAGGATATATCAGCAACTGTCTAACCATTTTGCAACAAAATTAGAATAGGTTTGTAGAAATTAAAAAAAAAGAGCCTATATATTTTGTTTTTAATTTATAAATTCAACAAAATGAACAGGAACATGAGAAAATCATTCATTGAAAACAAACCTGTACAGGATCCATTATTTGAGTAAAAATTTCATGCCAGTGATCTTTCTATTAGTAGCTAATGACTTTTTGAAAATTGCAAAACTTTCAACTCTACTAGCATGGAAGTATATAAAGAAAATAATTACAGTACAGTATATATAGAAGCATATTCATCTTCCATTTCATTTCTTCCAGTTCATCATTTGCTGGTCAAAATAAACAGATACAATACTAAACTCACAATCCTCTGGTTCATTCCTCCTGTTCTTATACAACAGCTCTACAACACCAACTATATATCAGGTTGGTGGGTCTTGAGTCAAGTTTCAAACTCCGCTTTCTTCTCATGGAAAGTATTAGCATTAGTGTACATGACTCAAGCCGGAAATAGTCCTTCTATCCTCAGTAACTCATTTACAAAGCTCACTTTAGTTGACAATCTCTCTTCCCTTTCTCTTTGCTGCAATGTTGCTTCACTCTCTCTTTTACAGGTACTTTAATGGGCAATGTTTAGTGGATTTGGCATCCTGTGTACCGCCGGCAAGGCCGTGGGCTCGTAACACACGTCTTGCCCGCGGTGCCCACCGTTTCTCTGTGGATGTCGGTCACACGAGAATAACCGGTTATAGTACATCCTTCTTTCCTCACACAGCCAAACTGTGG